TATATATATATATATAGAGAGAGAGAGAGAGAGAGAGAGAGAAAGAGAAAGACTCATTACTATGTCCCCGGCATGTTCTAGGGTATCCTTGGGCAAAGACCCTCTCATAGAGCTTGTATTTGGGAGAAACAAGACAGGACAGACTAATTAAAACAAATGAAGAAGATAATTCCAAACACGGATAAGCATTATAAAGATAATAAAACCAGGTGAGGCATAGAGGTTACTTTGGATTAGCTAGGTCAGAGAAGAACTCCCTGAGAGGAGAAAATATTAGCACTAAAATCTCAAGGAGATGAAGGAACAAGCCATTTGGAGGTCAATGGCAGCGTCTTCCAGACAAAGGAAAGAGCAAGTGTGAAGGCCTGAAATCCCTGAGCAGGGAAGAGGTTCACCCACTGCTGTTCCCTGCCTTTCCTGCTTTTCCTGGGGGTGAAAAGACAAACAGGATGACCCCCAAGTTTCCACTCTGTTATGATGTTCCACTAGTATGTCCTCAACTTAAGGGCTAATATATTCTGATTGGTTTGATACATTTTTACTTTGTTAGCCTATCAGAATGTTATAACTACAAGTTACCACCTCTATCTCTACCCTAAAATTGGTTATGGAACAGAATCCAGGCCTTGTTAATGCACCACTTGAGTCCAGGAGCTCCCGGCCAGCTTGTCTGGCAATCAACTTCAGAAGATAGAGGCCTGCGTGAGTATGGCCCTTTAGGTCTAAGTCATGACATTGCTCTTTGTCTATCTGCATTCAGTGGTCCAGGCCGCTGTCCATTGCTGATGTGACCTTTACTGACATCCCCAGCCTCAACAGAAACCACTTCTCACTAATCCAGCTTTACTGTGTTCCCAACAGCTAGCATGCAGGGATGGCTTCTTCCTCATTTTCATGTAAATATGCTATTTCAAATGCTCTCCAAAACAAATAGGCTTTTAAGGGCTAGTCTGAGAACCAAACCACTATTTATTTCACAGATCTTCTGGAAAAGAGGCTTCTAAGAACCAGATGAGAAGAGCATTTTGGATCACAGCCCACCTGCAAGTTAGGATCTGTAACGTAAGAGCCAGAACACCAGATAGGCAGAGAGAGCCTGCCTGGTTTCTGAACTGAGTGAGACAAACATGGAAGAAATTCTAAAGCTTGGAGATGGGTTCTTTTCTTTATAGCCATTCACACCCTAGGGGCATTACAGAGACCTTATAGACCTAAGGATTAAGAAGATTAATGGAGTCTATTTGATACCAAGTTTCATTTCTCAGCCTTTTCTGTTAAATTCATTATGCTTTTCTTTTTTCATTTAAAATAAGCATTGAGACTTTGTCCCCAACTAAGTTTCTCAAATGGCTACATGACTGAGAACCCAGACCCAAGCACAATGCTGTGGCTGGGGTGGGTAGCGGGCTGGCTTCAGTTCTGCCAAATTGTGGGGGCTGATGATCTCCTTTCAGGGGAGGGGTGTGGGGTGCTGGAAGGGATGTCGGTGAGTAGAAGGGGAACGGCCTCCCTGTGGGTGACTCTGGAGCTGGCAGTCCTTGCCCAGCCCCTCCCGCTGCTTCCTCCCACTCTTCCACATGCGGAAAGGGTTCTGTGCCTCTCACAGCAGCATCTGGCCCTCTGGCCTGAGTCGGTTCGGTGTACTTGCCTAGAAGGTTATTTAGCTCTGGAACTCACAGGAGTAAGAAGCTCAGAAAAGCACAGTGAGTCCCTGCCCAGCTCCAGGACCAATCTGAAAATTCTGGTCTGGTCACCAGCAGATGACAGTTTCTTCACTTACAGCAATTTTGCTAAGCACATTTATTTGCTTTCTCTGGAAACCTTCAGCACTAAATGTGTCGGTATTTCCACCTGAGAAGGTTTTTAACTGCAAAAAAGAGCAGAATGGTGAACAATAATAAAAATATTGTGAGAAAGAAAATGCCTATGGCTGTAATCCCACAGGACAGCTTGACATCAGATAGCTTAACTCCCCTTAGAGACGGCGGGTTTGCACATGTGGTCTCCTCCGAGCCTTCAAGTTTGTGCAGGTTTTCTTTGTACCATGTTAAGAAATGAATATTCGAGCAAGTGCAGTCCAGGGGATTGTGACTGAAATTAATGGTGCTCTGCTGGGACAAGATGGGGAGGAGATGGGGTGGGATGATGTTAATGCTGTTGGCGGCCAGATTGAGGTAAATTCCCTTAAAATGACTAACAGAAGCAATGCTGTCACATGTCAGGCTGTTGTGGCTTAAGTCTACATGGCTCATTTTTCCCAAGCCGTGGAATGCTTGCTGGTCTATAGAGAGGAGACCACAGGAGGATAAAATCAGAATCTCCAAGCTGCCCACGGTCTGAAGTAGGTTGGTCTTCATGATAGTCCCATCTTGAAAGTGATTGCCTTTTAAGTTGAGATGCCGGAGATCTGGTAGGCCTGCTAGAAGATGCTGATTGCTGGTATCAAGGAAGCAGTAAGTGAGATTCAGAACCTGCAGGAAATGGAGGTTTTGGAAGGGACTTTGTGGAGCATTAATGTGTAAGCGGGTAAACGCCAAATCCAGGAGTTCTAGCCGAGGACATTCTTTGAATGCCTGACTCTGGAGACCAAGAAGCTCATTGTGGCTCAGGTTTAAGGTTTGCAAGTGGGACAGGTTTCTGAGTTGCAGATTGCAGCAGTCAGAAGCCTCTATGTCATTATGGCTTAAATCAAGTGTCTGAAGGTTTCCTAGTTTCTCCAAACAGCCAACACCAAGGTGAAGTTTCTTCACGTTGCCTCTGACGTAGAGGTGTGTAAGGGAGGGGAAATTGGCAGCACTGATTTGACACAATTGGTCAAAATGATTTACACTAAGAACTAATTTCTTGAGCAAGTTCAGACCCTTAATCCCAGAGGGTAACCCTGCCAAGTGAGTTGCTGTCAGATCCAATTCCTGGATTTGGGTGAAGCACTGAAATGTGGTGGATGAGAAGTCAGAGAAGTGGTGTTTCTGCAGGTTGAGGCTCTCAACAGACATTTCACAGAGTCCCTTGAGCATGGCTGAACTAATGTCTTCGTCATCAATGTCCTCAAATGTTCCCAGCCAGAGAGACTGAGTAGTAGAGTTCTGCAGACCATTGAATATAACAGACAAATTTAGAGTCCCTCCAAAGTTCAAACTTTGGAAGACTATTGAACCAAAAGCCCCAAGCTCAATACCTTTAACATCATTGCCATTGAAGTTCAGGCTTAAGTTGGTGGCCTGCTCCAGAGACCTCATGTCTTCTCTAGAGAGGTAGTGTATAGCATTATTCTGAAAATCCAGTACTTTCAGATTCCGTGCTGGGAAGTCTTTGGGGAACTTAATGGAGGAAATATGGTTGCTTCCAAGATACAAGCTTTCCAAGTTTTCCAGATTGTGCACTGGAATAAACTCGAGATTGGATATTCCCGTTTGGATTAAGAAAAGATGCTTCAGTGACTTGGGCCCATTAAGCGATGTTTCTGCCATGAATATCAAAGGATTTCCAGTTAACACAAGTGTGTTCAATTGATGATGGCTTTGAAAAGTGTCTTCATGTATCCAATTAATCTGGCACCTTGAAAAGATAATTGTATTTAACAATAATTCATTTGCAAAAAGGAAAAATAAAAACCTATACAGTGACACACATTAATAAAGTCATCTTTTGTATCATTCAAAATCAAACATAAGAACTTTCTTCAGTATCAACAGATGGCCTCTTGAAGGAATTAATGAGTAGCCTCACTTCTGAACACTCCAATCTAGATTTTTTTCCGGGTATCTCACCCCTTAGATTGAACCCTCAGAGGATTGTGCCTGTATTCTAATGAACCACACGTCATTTGATTGTGGGCAAAATCAAACTATTATTTATTGTTTTAAGTAATACAAAATATGTCATATAGAATGCATAATAGATAATATATACTATAAATACGTATATATATATACAAAAATCTGTGTCATCCCGGGCAAGTTACAACTTTTCTCAACCTCTGTATTTTCATCTGAGAAAACCATCCTGGTTTTGCACCTAAAAATACTGGATTACACACACATACACACACACACACAGATGGTCTCCTCCTCTAACCATAAGTTGGATGATAATATGCACCATGGAACCTTACAGTGCTGGTTTTAAAGATGAAGCGGTACTATGGATGTGGACATTCTGTCCACAGAAGCTGAAGTTGAAGGACAAAATAGAAGAAGCAGAACTGCCACAAGGGGTTCAGACTGAAGGTACACACAGAGCCTGTCCCCTCTCTCTTACACACACACACACACACACACACTGTACAGTCCTTTCATTTTCTTCCCTTATTTTCTTGTAATACTTCTGTCTACTGGTTCTCAAACACTGGCTCAGCATGTGGAATCCCAATTCCACCACTATAACAAAATAATGGAACTCATTTTCCAATTTGTTGGGGCAGGGGGGAAGTAGATGGTGTGCTTTTCTCCTAGAAATTTTTCTTAAATGTCATTACCCAAAAATAAACTATGCCAAAATTCAGCATAGTTTGGCATCTGATTTAATATAAGATTATTTTCATTTTTGCTATCAGTATTCTTTAGAACTGCTCAAACAGTACTGTTGTTGCAACTAGTTTGAGAGCAATCCACTTTCCTCTCCATTGGTTGATGTTTATTTAAATTACATTTCACCCACACAGAAGTATTTCATAGGGAGGTATAAACATGTAGTATAAGCGGATTGTCCCTGGGCCTCCAAAAAAGGTCCTGCAAATAAATTGAGCACATACTGTACTTTAACTTAGGTAAAATATCAAAAGCACACATACAACTCAGATACATACCTAGTTAAATCCAAAAAGGTAAGATTCATGAGTCTGCTGAAGGTTCCATTGTGAATTGTAGGCAAAAAATTAAAGCTGAATTCCAAAAATTCTGTTGTGTTTGGTAGAGTGTCAGGGATTTCACTGAGACCTAAATTTTCACAGCTATATGTTTTGTTGGCTTCTTTCTGATTGGAGAAACAAAGTAAATTAATATTCGACTTAATAATTTGATTGACTATCTAGCAAAATTATATATGTTTTACCTTCTGAGCAGCAATCGTACTTCTAGTAATCTTTACCAAATATACACTTGCCAAAAACAAGATGATGAATGCACATTATTAACTGTAGTAATTGTTTTGTAATAGCAAGATTGACAATAACCAGACTGTTCATCAATATAGGACTACTTGAACAAAACATGGTACATTCACAAAATGGAATCCTTTAAAACTGAAAAAAAAAAAAACTCCATATATTGATATGGAGTGACACCCAGGATAGATTTCAAGGTGAAAAAAGCAAACCGCAGAACAATATATGTAGTGTATATAGTATACAGTATGTAGTATAATGTACAGAGTATGCCTTTTGTGTAAGAAAGGTATGTGTGAATTTTCTTATATTTGTTAAAACAAACCATGCAAAAAAACCCAACGACTGATTGCGTTTAAGAAGAGGGAAGAGACCAGACAGAAGAGCAGGGATAGATGTGAGACTTCTCTGAATGCACTTTGTTTTACAGTTTTGATTTTGGTTGAATGGAAATGTTTAATTTCAATTTGAAACAAACAAATCAACCTTAGATAAGTATCACCAAAATGAGACAATCAAACATTACATACTTTCGGATGTGAGACAATGTGAGGTACGCAGCATTGTCTATGAAGTATTCTTGCCAAGAAAAAAATTAAACTTGAAACTCATTAAGATTTTAGGTTTAACTTCACATCTCAAAGTGATATGTTGGGTTTAAGTGGAACATTCTATAGAACAACTGACTTTGTTTTCTCTCTCTCTCTCTCTCTCTCTGTGTGTGTGTGTGAGAGAGAGAGAGAGAGAGAATGAGAGAGGAGATAGTGCTTGTTAAAAGACATAGAGATATAAAATTTACTTAAGAGACATAACCATCAAATAATAGAGTAGCCCTCATTTAGAACCTGATCCAAATAAAGCAGTTCAAAAAGGCATTTTATAGACTGTTAGGGAACTTTGAATGAGGACAGAATTCGATGATATTAAGGAATTCTGGATTTTGTTAATGACAGCGGACTTGTGGTTATGTAAAATAAATGTTCTTAGTCTTTTGAGATGCATATTTAAATATTTAGGAGTAAAACGGCATGATGTTGGAATTGGCTTTACAATACTCTGGCAAAAAAGGATGAGAGGAATGTAGAAATGAAGTGAGTAGGCCAAATGCTTATGATTGTTGCATTTTTAGGTTCTTTGTTACTATTTTTGTATATGCTTAACATGTTTTCTTAACTCAATGCTTAAAAAAACTAGCAGGGTGGCATAGACCTGAGGCCTTGCAATCTTGAAGTATGAATTAATTTTAGATCTCTGGATTTGTAGGCTGCTGATACCAGACGGTAGGCTTTTGGGCACGACCCTATACATAAGTTCCTACACATGAGGTTGTTCCTCATCCTGTGCCCCAGGGTAGTCATGGATTCTGAAGCCTGCCAATCATGTCCTAACACAAGTTATGTGTTGAACTAAGTAGGTAAAAAATGGGAAGTGGTTATTTAGAAGCCTGTAGAACTGTGATGTCATTATTTATCTGGCTAATGCTTTAAGACAAAGGGTAGTAGGGCAAATAGAAAGGTCTGACAGGGCAGGTATGAAAGTCTGATGGAGTATATGTTGCCTGTGGACTCTCCTTGGAAAGATATAAATGATCTCTAGGGAAAGTTCCTGCTATGCTTTGAATATGTCCTTCAAAGTTCACGTGTCAAAAACTCAATTGCCATTGTAATACTAAGAGGTGAGGCCTTTGGGAGGTGATTGGATCATGGTTTCCACACTCATGAATGAATTAATGCTATTATTGCAGAGTGGGTTAGTTATCACGGGACTGGACTCCTGATAAAGGGAGTAAGTTATTGGGAGGCCAAGGCGGGCAGATCACAAGGTCAGGAGTTCGAGACCATCCTGGCCAACATGGTGAAACCGTCTCTACCAAAAACACAAAAATTAGCTGGGCATGGTGGTGCATGCCTGTAATCCCAGTTACTCGGGAGGCTGAGGCAGGAAAATCACTTGAACCAGGGAGTTGGAGGTTGCAGTGAGCCAAGATCGCGCCACTGCACTCCAGCCTGGCTGCAAAGTGAGACTTCGTCTCAAAAAAAAGGGGGGGGGGGGTAAGTTAGGCCTCCATTTGCTCTGTCCACATGCTTGCTTTCACCTTCCTCCATGGAATCATGCAGCAAGAAGGCCCTCACCAGATACCACAGCCAGGCTCTTGGGCTTCCCAGCTCCCAGCTATGAGAAATAAATTACTTTTCTATACAAATTACCCAGGCTGTGGCATTCTGTGATAGCAGCAGGAAACCGACTAAGACAGTGACCTTGGGGGCACAAGAACAAGGACATCCCAGGACCTTGGGCCAGCTCTCAGATCATCTCAGGCTCCAGGTGAGTTAATCCAATCTTCCAGCCCTTGCCTTTCCCTGACACATAGGGGCTCACTAGAAGCCCCACTGAGACTTCCCTGGCCTGGAAAAGATCTACTCTGGTACGGACTCCAGATCCGTGGCTTTTCTCATGCTGAGTTACAAACAGATCTGCTTAGTGGGAAACAGAACTGCACACATCCTGCTTTGCTCTGAAGCAGGAGGCTCTTGAGATGTCACCATTATAACCTCATTTTCTTTCATTCCAATTTCTGTTTAGTGATGCACTTTTTTGTAGCCACAGAACATGCTCATCACAGAAAGTCACCAGTTGTCTTCGATATTGTGACAACATTATGACTGTCACTGATGAAAATGCTTTATTTATATGTCCTTGTAATTTATTCTTCGTTTTATAGGCCGAAAGTCCTCCAGGCACTGCCACAAATCCACATAATGTCCTTGAAATGCACACTTTGCATTTAAAACTTAGATTTAGCTGACTGGTGGGGAAAAAAACCACGTGTTGCCAGACCTATCCTCGGTGCCCATGAATATGGACGACCCAGAGAGAATATGCATGTGCAGCTGCTGCCCCAATAGTTGCAAAGGTGCTGATCAGCTTAGAGGAGACATTTTTCTTTTCTGGTCTCCTTTGGCATAACTGATGTCACATACGGTTGGAGAAAAGGGACTTCCTCAGTTTGTCTCACTCTATTCTGGCCCTACAGCAAAAGGCTCAATGCTGTCATTTCCCTTCTTCTCCTGAATACGTAAGTGCCCATGATACCTAAATTATTCTGTGCCTCAGCCTTTTGTGTGCTTTACTAAGCACTTTACTGCACTAATGTGATGCAGAAGATTGAGAATCCAGGAGGAGTTCTACTAAACCAGTGGCCTGAGTGAGCTCCTTGAAAATAGAAAGCAGGTAAATGAAGCAGCTTGGTTTCAATCCAGTGAAAAACTGATAATGAGTAGATGACGCTACCAAGAGGATCAAGAAGGCCACCATGAGCCTGTGCCATAATATTGAATCATCTCTGGTTAGGTGGAAATGGCAATAGATCCTGTGCCTTTGATTTTTAGGAGAAAGAGGCAAGTGACAAGAAATACAACTGATAAGAGAATTTAGAAACCAAACACATTTTAGAGAATGTCTAGGGCTCAGCATACACGTAGCCCTTCCCTTATAGCTTTTATAATCACAATTGTATCATCAAAATGGCCACGATGATAGAGGCACCAAAGCACCACATGCTCTGGAATTATCTAGGAAGCATTAGATTGTTTTCAGACTATTGTAAGACAGAAAGTACACACACATGCATGCACACACACACACACTATTATTCACATTCTTTTTGATGGAGAGTACACTACTGCCATCATGACCCTTAAACCCTAAACACCAAGGTTTATATATCCTAAAATCAAGGATATTATATGACTACAGTGCCATTATGAAATTCAGGATATTTAACATTGATACAATGTTATTATCCAACGTATTGTCTATATCCAAATTTTGACAATTGTCCCATTATTATTCTTTACAGTAATTTTTGTTTTTCCAATCCAGGATCACACATTGCATTTCGTTGTTGTATCTCCTTAGACTCCTTTAATCTGAGACAGTTCCTCAGCCTTTGTCTTTCATGACATGAATGCCTTTTGAAGAATGCAGGCTCATATTTTACAGAATGTCCCAGTTATATGTTTGTATGTTCCTCGTGATTTGACCCTGGTTGTACATTTTTGGTAGAAATATTGCATTAGTAAGGGTGTGCCATTCTCCCTATCAATATTCAAATGAAACTTTTTGAGCATGAGTTCTGATAGCCAGGGTCCCAGAACAGTAGAATGGTAATGCAACAGAGAGTCAAAGGACAAGATGCAGAGAAGGAACACTGGGTCCCAGCAGACAGCATGGCCACCGCCAGGACCATGTGCTTCTGTTACTTTTTCTGGGCAGACACCCACTACCATTGCAGTTTCTCTGATCTCCACATGACCATTTCCTATAAATCCAGCCTTTTCTTCCTAGAGAAGTCTAGAAATGTGGTCAATTTCCAAAGTCCCTTTCTCACCTCTCTGCTTCTGCTGGCTCCACTGCAGACGAGACTTCTTGATGTGAATTCACACAGTGAGCAGAGCTCTGGCAAGGCCACGTGGTATTCATGACAATTGCCTCATGTCCATCACTATTCTAAGTCAAGGGGCATTCGCTTGGGCCCCACTGTGCACTGGGACCTGTGTCATCTGCTTTGTCTCGAGCTCTGTCTCAGAGCTGTGCTCCCAGAGCTACATCTGTATTTGCAATCCCTTTTCCTGCTAGGTATTCATTTGCATTTTTTCAATCAGGCTCTTATTTTCCTCCCTTCTGCTGTATATCTAACTCCCTCTCATCCCGCTGTATTTTCTTTCCTTGCAAGTGTTGAAACATTTTCTAATTTGGAACTCTTTGAATTTCACTCAAGTGTTTATTCTCACCTTTTCGAATTTCTCATCTGCACTTGACACACACAGCAGCCAGCCCCCCATGCATGAGAAGTCTGGGACATTGACCT